TTAATTTATGAGTACTGAAGAAGCCATAAAGCAGTCTCTCCTCTGGATGTCATTGTGATATCTTTCGGCTTGAAGCACCAAGTAGCTGAACTCTTTGATTCCCTTCACCTCTAATTGTCTTGCTAGTCAGAATGGGCTTCAGAGTTTCAGAGTCATTACTGTCTTCCCTCTTCCACGTGAAATGTCACAAATCATAACTATCTCACTTTTAAACTGCATTACCTCATGCATTACAATAGAAAATAAGCTTAATAAATTATGCCACCACAAGTTTTCCCTTCCAGATATCATTTCTAGTTGAGCAGATTATTCCCTGTTAGATCAGATCCTTCATCAAAGCAGCCGGCAGATGAATTCATCAGAATTCCTTGCTTTATGGAAGCTGGAAATGCAAATATAACTGGTAGGATGTGTCTGCAACAGTGTTATCAGTATCAATCTCAAAACCAAAGTGACCAGAACCTATTTGGTGTAAGACGAGAAAGGAAGAAGCTTCTCCTTCCTGCTCTCTGTTTGATGCCACCATTGCTGACATCCTAGTTTGCTGGTAATTAAGGGAAGGATGGGCAAGATGGCTTATTTATTAATTACTTATTTCATGAAATGTATACACTGCTTGATAGTTGTTGTTTTTAACCATCAAAGCAATTTATATATTTTTTTGAAAAGTTGACAGATGGGGACTGATGGTGAGTAGGGGTTTTAGGGTGCAGACTTAACCCTGGCCATGCCACAGAAGGGCTTAATACCCTGTCGGGAACCATGCAACTCACTCTGGTCAGGGAAGGTAGGTTGTTTTTGCTATGCCTGCCAAAAGCTGGTAGAGCAAAACGGCCCAGAGCTCCTCCTGCAACTTGTGACTTGCTGCACAAGCTTTGGAGCCAGTGGACCCACCATAGGAAATGTTTCTCTACAACCAGGCCTTTGGCTGATTGAGCATTCTATGGCCTTTCAAGTGTTTTTGTGAGAGGAGGGTTGTTGGTTCTGTTCCGTTCTTGTTTCAGTATGTATTTTTTTGTTCTTGCTGTGTATTTTCATGTTGTGAGCCGCCCTGTGATCTTCGGGTGGAGGGCAGTGTACAAATTTAACAACAACATGTGAGATTGCCTTATACCGAGTCCGACCATTAGGCCATCTCCCTCAATATTGTCTACACTGACATGAAGTGGCTTTTCAGGGTTTCAGATGGGAGTCTCTCCCAGTCCTTTCTGGAGATACTGTGAATGGTACCTGGGGCCTTGTGCATGCATAGCTGGTGCTCCAGTGCTAAGCAATCATCTTTCCCTTGAGCAACGGTTCTTCCCTACCTCTTTAAAATGCCCTGTTTCAGAGATTTTTATGCTGGCTATCACCCGCAGACCCGAGGGCTAGAATTTTATGATTTCAAAAGAGATGAATGCTTCAGCTTTCAATAGAAAGTTTTGGGCATTGTAGGCTGCAGCTTGAACACCCCTGTTGTTTCCTAGTTGTTGTCACTGAGTTGTTAAATGCGCTATAAATGCTTCAGTCCATTTATTGCTTCTTCTGGGTTTCTGTGGCATACTTATTGTTCCTTGGGGGCAAAACTCAGTTGTATACACTTGAGACAGACTTTTAACCAAAAAAAAGGGGAGGGTTAGCTGCACATGTATGTTGTTACATAGGTTTTCTTGTTATTTGAGAACACTGACCTTTTTCGCCTGTTCTTTAGAACCATTCTGACTCCTGTGAAAACTGCTGTGCGGCGTGCAGCTCAAGTGTATTTTCTTCCAGAGTAATATTGATATAAAATGAATACAAGCACAATTTGTTTTCAGACCACAGCTTGCACAACAAACCTTTGTTTGTGTGCGATCCCCATTCATTATATGTTCTTCTTTCTCTGCTCTTTCTCATTCAAATGTCTCTGCGATCAATAGTATATATGATAGTTTGGCACCATCTCAGCGAGTTCTTGCAGATGGATATAAAATTCTATTTTTATTACCACTGGGTCCTGGAAGTGTTTGAATGATAGATTTACAGAAGTCCCCAGGCAAATTGAAATAAGCCTTGAATTGTATCTCAGCAGGGATACTAGGTTATCCTTATTCAGAATAAATGTTCCTCCTTTTTATCCCACATATACCACTAATCCTCCTTGGGGGCAGAAGCTACAGGTGCCAGTCAGCTCAACTTTAGAAAGGTCTGCAGTGTCAATCTTGTGCTCAATCCCTGTCCCAGAGCTGGAGTTGTACTTAGGTGCAAAGTTGATATTAGCACATGAGAGAAGAAGCTTGTCATCTTGTCTTGCCTATTGCTTTCTGGAGTTGAGTTCGCTGAAAAGGAATTGATAATACAGCACTTTCATTTTTATTTATTTTCTGCATTTCTGTTGTCACCCCAAAGCTGAGTTCTGTTCATGGCACAGAAAACACACACATACACACCTTAAAATACAGTATAGAATAATAAACACTACAACAGATTTACGCTCAGCTAGGATCTTGACATTTGTGTTTTTAACATGAGAAGATCCAGAATGAAATATCCTTCTCAAATACCCTTTTCTAATTTTCATTTATTCTGATAAAACAGTGGTCATCAACAATCTGAGGGGCATATTTGGAATTTTGAGGAAGGACACCACAAAATGACTTCCACCAATAGTATGGCCTAACATAAAATGGTTCCTACCTCCAAAATAGCAGAAAAAGAAACTTTAACAACTGCATGGTAGGCAGAAATTCAACAGGTTAAGCCTTTTGTAGCATGGAAATATAATTATGTCAAGATGCACAGGATGCACCTGTTTGCAGCTTTATTTCACTTATTTTGCTGCCTGACAGTGAGGTGGAGTAGTCAGCAATCATCTATTCATATACTTTTTTTAAAATGTGCATTTTGGGGTGGGGAAGGAAGTGCAGGGATCACCTGTCACTCATCTTGTTGCCCTCTGGCCACATGGTACAGTCACCATGCAGCTTCTCTTAAGGAGCTTCTTGAAATGTGAAAGAAATGTCAGAATCCTCCTCTTGCTGCTGGGTTTATTTCATTGCCTGCTGGCAATTACAGCAGGCAGCCACTTGAGAGGGGCATCAGTGGAATATGGGGTGGAAGATATGGTAACCCTTTCTTGTCCAGCTGCATGCCATCTAGCAGGGATTCTTAAAAAAAAATGTGATGGGCTCAGTGCAGATGCATCTTGCTCCTTTGTCATTATCATCACCCTTTCCCCCAATTGTTCAAAAATTGTTGCGGGAGGGCGTGCACTTTTGAGGTATTCTTATTACCATCCCATTTCCGCCCTTACTGACTCACAGCTGGGATTTTTCCCAAGTTGTTTGGGGAGGGGGAAACACAGTGCCAAGACAGACACCCCCTCAGACACCCCTAATTTCCAAAAGCTTGGAGAAGTCATTCATCCTTAAAGATCATACTAGTCTGGGCAAGTATTGTACAACTGTTACTCTAGTGAGTTGTCTTTTCTGTGTTTTTACCTTGTATTTCTATTCTTTTCTATTTCATATAGTAAAAAACAACAACTTGCCTTTTTATTTGTGTCTATGACTGGATGTAGTGATTCAAAATTACTACTACATTACTCCATCCATGCACAAATATTTTCCTCCTGTCTTACTATTATTATCACATATTTAAACTTTTAATAGATAGTTGCTCAAGTCAACTTGTAATAGACTAAGCCTCTTCCTCCATTATTTTTCACCCTTTCCTCTGTAACGATGTACTTATTAAATAGCTTGCTATCTTGCTGTGAATTTTTGTCTGGGGTTTTTAGGTACTTTACACATTGCTGTTGTTATTAAAATGAAAGGTAATATGTACGCAAGCTATTAGATTACCAACTTCCAGAGAGCCTTTAAAAGTTGAAGAGTTCTTTTCACTTCAAAACTGAGAATTAGTCTTTGCTTTGCAGCATTCTAGTATAATAGTGATGGGATCATCTGTATGAAGACTTTCACATTAATTTGTGTAATATTATCATATTAGATGCTGTGAAGATCTCAAACACATTGAGCTGCTGGAGTTTAAAGTTGCATTGTGACAAATAAATTGAAAACTATTTGTATATATCTTGGATTAGCTACAAGGTTTAATCAGCAAATTAATTTACAAGGAAAACACCTTTTCTTTACTCTTTGGCACATGATAGTTTTTACCATTACAGTGATCAGTTTGGTTAATTTTTCTTAGCCTGCAACACTGTTTTCTTATGTTAGATTTCAACTGCTATATTTTCCACATTTGGTGACTGCCATCCCCATGTGATAACCTGTCATATGTTACCATATCTGTCTCAAATGGAGGCTTTTCAATATGCAAAAGTCATATCTGTCAACAGTAAGTGAAGTGGAATCACCATATGATGTGATTTTGTGAATCCTGATGGTCTGGGGGCACTAGCCTGTGCAATGTTGAATTTATATCACTGTACTCTGAGCTCTGATTCTGATGACCAACTGTTGACATTCTTTGAAAATATAGCCAACAAATAATAAACTACTACGGAAGAAAAATTCATAATCAAATTAACGTTTTCTGCTTCCCAGAGTATTTTCTACTTTGTCAGTGTTTGGGCCAATGGAATTAGCCATCAAACTGGTTTTTTAAAACATTTGGAATATTTATTCTGAATGTTTAAGCCTGATGAGGAAAAATATTTTCATACAGAAAAGTTTTTTCTATTATGCATATATTTGTCTTCATTCCCTTCCCTCGAGGAATCCTGCAGACTGTCATCCTGTCAGAATGCAAAAGGTTTATAACGAAGATACTTTAGTTTCACAAGATGATATTTCTTAGGGACTTTTGGCTGAAGCCACACTAGCTAAAGCAATTTGATCCTGGTATATGAAATGCAAATTTATAGTAGAGCTGTGTGCTGCCTGGTCCAATCCTGCCTCAGCTTGTGTTTCTTAATCTGTGATCCATTGAAATTATTACCATTCTCTTCAAATAAATTCTCTTCTTTATTGAACACTTTCTCTCTATTGTGCTTATGAATCTTGCCATTTCTGTTTCAGAAATCAAGAATAGCCACGTATGAAAAAATGTGGGCCTTTATGAATAGCAGGAGGCAGTCGGTGCTTGTCAAAAGTAACGAAGAAGGTATCCAGCGTGTACTCACCTCTGATTATGCCTTCCTAATGGAGTCAACTACCATTGAGTTTGTTACACAGCGGAACTGTAACCTGACACAGATTGGTGGCCTCATAGACTCCAAAGGTTATGGTGTTGGAACTCCTATGGGTAGGTTGCATGCCTTTCTTCTCTTTTTGTTAAATTGCATGTGCAGCAATACCACAATTTCCTCCCTTTGCTGGGTATTAGCTGGATTAAAACAGCACCATGTGCTATTATTAATATATCCATATTTAATATATTTATATGTTGCTTAATAAAGAAGTATATAAGCACTTTACAAAAGGAAACAAAATAAATTAAAGAAGCTAAAACACTGGAGTGCCATATAATATAATAAATATTTTACTAGTAATGTACTTTAATCACTTCTTAAGAGAGGGAAAGCCTGTTGAAGCCCATGAGTCTTCAGCCGCCATTTGGAAGAACATTTGGTGCTTCCCATACTACAAAGAAGGGAGTCCTTGAAAGTTAGTGCTATTAGGAGAAGACCTGCTTGAGTTTTACCTTTTTATATAGCTGTGTGATCAAGTTGAACATTACTGGGATGTAAATACTCAAAGTGCCATTATCACCATCATTATAATTCCTTTTTTCCCATCAGTATGGGTGTGGTATATGTTTTTGGCACACAAGATTTGTCTTGCCATTGTAATATAGGAAAGTCTGTGGTTGCCTGTAAAATTCAAGGCCCATTCTAGGGCGGTCTGTGTTTTTCTGAAGCGAATACGGTATTTTCCTTGAAAAGGGAACTTTCATCAAAGGTTGCTGTAGATCAGGGATGGAAAACCGGTGGCCCTCCAAGTGTTTTTGAACTCCATCAGCCCTTGCCAGCATGGCTACTAGTTGGAGATGGTGGAAGTTGTAACCCGACAGCACTTGGAGGGCCACAGATTCCCCATCCCTGCTATGCCCACTGGTGTGATAATGAATGAGTTCCTGGTCAGTTGTGTGGCATGTTTGGACTGAGAGAGTACCTTGCTGGAGTACCAGGCAGTGATGTACCTCTCTGGTGGAATATCTAAACTCATGGCTGGATAGCATCCAGGCTAGTCCAATTGCTTTATTGGAACATCGGTGTGCAGGCTGATTCACACCAGCATACATAGTGTTCAATGAATGGTCATTTAATAACCATAGACAGAGCAGGGATCCCAAACTTTTTTGGACACATTTGGTAATCTGAGAAACTATGGACCCCCATCATAAAATGATTATCATTGGGGGGAGGGGCTTTCCTTGTCACAAAATGGTTGTTATGGGAGACATGTCTTGTCAAAAGGTAAAAATAAATTCTCGAGAAACTGTGTATGAGCTAGAGATTGGGTCTGAGCTCCAAATATCAGATCTTTTATTTGCCCTTGCAAAGCACAACAAAATAACCCCCTTCACCTAAGATGCTTAGAGAAACACATCCGCCTGCAAAGACCACAAAGCCACTCATCAGTCCCAAATAAAAAAGGGAAATTCCAACTTCAAAAGTCAGAAACAGGTAAAGATGTGTCTTTAATGTACAATGTACTCTTGATCTGCCCATTAAAATAAAATTAACAGTAAAGCTAAGGCATTTTCCATTTCTATTCCCACCCCATTATATAAACAAACAAATAACAAACATTAGCTGCTCTTAGCTTGCGGGAATGATCATGATCTTCTGGCTCCTATGCACAATTGTGTGCCAAAATAAATTTCCATGCATATGTTGCTAACTGTTATACAAATTTAATAAGTCAATGAAGGTAGAATTTTATTTTCAGATACATAGCCCATGCTGTTAAAATAGCAGGTGTAATTAAGCAGAGGTGAGTTTAGGGCTCCCAATAGGAAAACCAGCCATCAACGTCCCAGAACATGTAAAAATCTTTTGATATAAAAAGATAAATTATTCCCAACAATTCATTTTATTAGAAATGTTTGCCTTAAATGTTGGAAATAGATAATTTGTTGCTAACTTGTGAATGAAATATTGAATATATTATTCAATGCATTTGAGTAATGGTTGCTATTTCTTCACACACCTGTAGAATAGATGCACAGTGCAGGGATGGACTTTGGTAATATGGTGCCCTGAGCGAGAACAAAATTTGGTGACCCCCAAATATTTCTTAATTTTTCAACAATTCTTTTGGGGACGGTTGCTTTTAAATTGATCTTCTCGGTAGGTACCCGTATAAATATAGGTACTATTGTTGTTGTTGATATTTTGCACCCCTAAGCTCAGTGCCCTGTGCGGGAGAACTGCCTGCACCACCCTAAATCTGGTGCTGCACATTGGTGCACAGTGAATGACAGCCTGCTACATAAATAAGTATTATTTTGTGAAGTAGCATGTAATAATGGAAGTGGCAAAATTTGTGACAAGGAGATGTTCTGCAAGCACATTCCCTTCAGGTATCCAAGTCCCATGTATAGAATTATTCACTGGAATATTCAGAATTGAGAAAATAGATGGTGGGTGATGCAAGTGAGAAGTTAAATACTGTGTATACACATAAACATGTCTGCATGTCAGTGCCTGGGATGTGCAAGTCAATAGGTAGCTATGGTAGGTAGAGGTGCCTGGAAGATACAGTATAAGGGAGAACGGCGGTTTTTTGGCATATCTTCTATGTTTCTACCCCAGGTGGTCATCAGAAGACCTTGTAACTATGAGTTTGCTTTTCTCTCCCTTTCCCTCCCAAGCTGTTTTCAGTTTGTGTCATGTATTTTTAGATGGTACATCTGAGAGCAATGATTGCTTTTTAAAAAAGTAATCTAGAACCCACTGGGAGTCTTTTTTTGGCTGAATAAAAAAAATGTGAATAAGTTTTGTCAAGACCATTCAAGGAAAAATAAGCAAGCAAGCTAGAGGGAAAGAAATTGCCAGAGTGAGCCAGAGTGCATAGAATAATAAAAAGCTGTGGTACATTTAGCTTCAGCTTGCACACTACAACTCACTCTACTTATCTAGGCTGATATGCCTAGATAGAGAGAGAAATCTATGGATCTGTAAGAATGCCCAATGTGTATGTGGTTATGTCACTTGATTACAACCATAGTGTATTTGGAGAAATCAAAATTACACATTGACTTTTCACACCAGCAACAGATCCACCTACTGTATAAGATGTGTCCAGTGTGACTAGGGATGAAATAAATAAATCCACCTAAGATTATAGTCAAACCAATATATAAGCTGTATGTCTGTCTGTCTACCCCAGAATCTGTGGTACACATCACACAAAGTGAAGACGACTTGGAATTTCATCGTGGCAGATGTTTCATTCTGTGTTCAGTGGTTTGCCAGGAATATTGAGAGCTACATCTCAGTATCACCCATATCAGCAAGCTGAATGGATGGATGAATGAATCTTTATTTGCATCAGCCATTGGCCATAGCAATAAAACAACAATACGATATACAAAGAATAGAAATAACAAGTCAATTATATAAAATACATTTTAGGGTTTTGAATCAATAGTCAAACAGTGGATCTTATTCTAATTGCCCCAGCTAAAAACCTTGCAACCTTTGCTGTCACCTGCTCATCTTATCAGCAAGTTGCTGTTGGCATCCATCTGTCTTGAGAAACAGTGGAGTGCACCTCCTGGGGTGAAGTCAAACCACAGTGTTTGCAGTACCCCTGGGGCGCAAGTCTGGGCAGTGTAAATGGAGACCCTGGGCTGCCCAAACAACAACACACACCCCCGGCCTCACTAGTGTGGTCCAAAGGAAATACATGTGACACCAGCTTGGCTGCTGGAGTTGCTGGAAGGAGGTGTACAAGGCCATCCAACCATCTTAGGGACTCCACTTTGGATATGTGTAGGGTTTGCTGATTAGTCTTGTCTTCTCCCAAGATATCCCACAAGGCAGCAGAGTTTTAGGATCAACAAGTAGCCTGCAAAGATTTTGCATGTTTCATTTAAACTGTGCAGACCTTCTAGGCTTTCCTAACTCCGTGGAGGTACCTCAGGTGCATAAATGCCACCGATTTTCCAGCGGCTTTGAGGGTCCTCTTCTAGAGGGGGTCCTCCTAGAACTTAAGGCCTTTTGGGGCGTTCTCTTCTGTTCTACCCCTTTGATGCTGATGCATACATTAGCAGCACTTGGTGAGCCAACACTTACCAATATTTCAGTTTTGCAAAGCTGATTCCTGAACATCTCCCATTTGCTTTTGAGACCCTCCCCCACTATATAACTTGGTCAACAGCAATTCTGGATTCACTCCCCTGACCCTACCATGATTATGGCAAAAGTGCTTATAAGGAAAAGAACTAAAATATAAGTAATTGTGGAAGATAGATAGGGTCTGAAATCTTTCTTCTCTTCCTTGTGGACAAACTCTTGCCTTTGTTAAGGATGTTGCTTCCATCTTGTTTCAAATAACGTTGTCAGAAAAGCTTCATGCTGTCAGGCCATCTAAAAGTTATTCAGCATCTATCAGAAGAAAAAGAATATGAATAAATACACAGCCTTCCAGCAGAGTTACATTGGCTCAAACCCCTTGAAACCAACATACTCATGTAAGTTCAAAAGTTTAGACTAAAACCCCGAGGCTTTCACATCACTTGTGTCTGTCTAGAATTCAATTTTCACCATATTTTGTATGGTGATCTGTGGAGGTTCTGTGATCGAGTGAAGGTCTCTGCTGTAGACCTCCACTTTACTTTTCTTTGTACATTGCTTTATTATTTCTTTTCCAGTTGTTGTTGTCAGTTTCCAGCTTAGTTGCTGTCATCTGTACCAGAGAGAGAGTGAGTGAGAGAGAGATAAACTTGATTGGACAGACAAAGAGATTGGTCGGTTTCCTTGATTCAAGGAATCTTTGGCAGACATTAAAGCATCTATTTTGGCAGCATTATTAGTATTGTTTGTGGGGATTTTTCTTTCCTTCTCTGTTGTCAGTCATCTGAGGAGCACATGATTAAAATGGCGTTTGGAATAAGCTCATTTTGAAGACCTGTCTTGTTCATATTATTTCATCGGACATAGCGTCTAGAAAGAGGGATCTCACACTCCCTTCCCTTAAATTGAAGGCTTCGCCACAGAAAAAGGGGTTTCAGGCAATAATTAATGATCTGCTGCTTCATACCTCTGCTAGGAATATGACTTCATGAATTATTTA